TTTAGCCTTTTGATACTTTTAGCTTTTATTTAGCCTTTTGATACTTTCAGCTTTCAACTAACCTTTGGTTACTTTTAGCTTCTATTTAGCCTTTTGAACTTTTAGCTTTTATTTAGCCTTTTGATACTTTTCAAGTTTCTTTATTGTCATTCACATCCCGTGGTACATAAGGTGGAACTAAGTTGTGTACACGGGGTCCCAGTTACATCCAACAACAGCAAAAATATGAATTTATTTAGATTTATTTATTATTTTAATTTTAGCTTTTATTTAGCCTTTTGCTATTTTTACCTTTTAAACTGCTACTTTTAGTTTTTTTAGCTTTTTGCTGTTTTAAACTTTAATCTAGACTTTTGCTACTTTTGGCTTTTTGATACATTTAACTAGCCTTCAGTTATATTTAGCTTTTAGTTAGCATTTTTGTTGGTTTAAGTTTTGAGTCAGACATGATACTTTTAGCTCCTAAATATCTTTTTTTAAATATTTATCTTTTAGCCACTTCTTTGCTACTTTAGTTTTTGCCTAGGGCCTTGCTCCTTTCGGTTTGAAGTGTTGGCTTTGGTTCATTTAGCTTTTAGCTTTTTGTTCCGTTTTTACCTTCAAGTGAGAATTTTGCTTTATTGAACTTTTAGCTAGTGGTTTGCTGCTTTAGCTTTTGGCTGCAGTTTCTCTATTTTTACACCAACCAAAAATACAAACACTTGTTTTTCCATGTCTTCATGAGCCGGACTCAAAGATCTACAGGTCCAACACTTTTTCTACACATTCGGCCTTTTTCTCACAAATATTGTTCACTGTGTTGGTGAGCCCTTCTTCTCAGAGATGATCCCTCCACCTCACAGGTGTGGCACATCAAGATGCTGATTAGGCAGCATGGTCATTGCACAGGTGAGCCTTAGGCTGACCACAACAAAAGGTTTACTTTTACTGTATTGGGGCGGGGTCTAAAAACCAGTCAGTCTCTGGTGTGACCACCAACAGACCATCGTGGTCTGTTGTGGAAGTTGTTGGGTCTTATCAACTGAAACATGTCGTCATATACATCGATCCAGAGCGTCTCAAACATGCTCAATGGGCAACGTGCTGGGCGAGTATGCTGGGATGGGTGAGTGTGCTGGGATGTGTTCAGCTTCTAGGTCCACACAACATGGGGCCTATCATGTTGCAGCATGAGGAGATGGTCGTGCATGAAGGGCACACCGGACCTCAGGATGTCGCCACGTATCTTCAAAGTGCCGTCAACAAAGCGCTGCTTGATAAAACCTCTGATCCTGATTTGGGAACTGGTCTGTGTCTCAGGTTCAGGCTCAGGTGAGAACCACCAAAACCAGCTTTGACCAGCTGAGGAACGACGTGTGTCAGAAGGTGGACCTGCTGGGAGCCAGTCGCTGCAACCTCCTCTCACACGTTCTGACCACATACCAGGTGCGTCCCCAACACCTGCTGCATCCACCCGACCGGACGCAAACCCAGCTGCACGTTTGAAAACGATTAAAACATTTATCTTTGTTTCAGACGACACTTTTGCACTTCTGGGAGAAGACGTCCCACACCATGGCGGCCATATCTGAGAGCTTCAAGGGCTGTCAGAACTACGAGCTGTCCACACTGAAGGTCAGGGAGCGTTTTTACCAAGAGATCCAGCTGCTGAAGGACAGAAAGTCACGGCTTCTCTTACAGATGTTACACGACGCCACGGACAAACCGGCTGAGAAGGAGAAGAAGAAAACTAAAGAAGAAACGGGAGAAGAAAAGAGAGACGAGAGCGCCGGAGAGCAGTGAGTCCAAACATTATTCTAGTTCAAGAACAAGAGCAGAGCACGTCTGTCGACTCACAAAACGCTGTTTTCTTGTGTTTCCAGAATCATCTCATTAGGAAATGAAACCACGAACAATAAAACCAGAGAAGGTAAAAATAAACATTTACATTTCATTTAAAATCAGCCATGAAGCGCATTCAACTGAAGACAAACCACAAATATCTGATGCCAGGCTGAACGTCGGCTGAAAACATGATTTATTTTTCAGTTCTCTAATAATTATTAATAATAATTATTATACTAGTATAATTAGACAGCAAAGATTAAATACTCTGAAAATCAGAACGAGTCTGTTGATATTTGGGTTCTGAAAAAGGAGAAAGTTGTTTTAAAAAACAAAACAAGAAGTTACTTTTTCTGTGGAGGAGAAAAAAAAAACAATTTTTTCTGCTGAAGGAGCTAAAACTGAACAAAAGCAAAAAAAAAGCAGAACAGGAGCTAAAAGAAAACAAAATACAAAACCAAGGCTAAAAGCTAACATTAGCAAAACCATACTGAAAAGCTCAAAGTAGCCAAACTGTAGCCAAAAGTTAAAAGAAGCAGAATGGTAGCTAAAAGGTAAATACAGCAGAACATTAGCTAAAAGTAACAACTAGCTCAAAGCAGCAGAACGGCAGCTTAAAGCTAAATGTAGCAGGACTGTGTCTGAAAGATGAAAGTAACAAAATCGTATCACACTCAATCAGAGCAGGTGTGCTGAAACAGATTCAACGTGAACAAAGGTTTAAAATCATTTCAGAGGTATCTTTGTATTCATGTGGAAAATATTATTTAAACCAAATTTTATACTTTGAAAAGTATAAAAGTTTCAAAAACCAAGTCAGAGTCACTCCATTCTCAACTGAGCAGAACGGTTTGACATAGGAGCGATTTTAAAATCTGCATTTTGAGTAAAATACAAATAAAAAAATGTGAATAAAAATGAAAGAGTGAACGCTGACTCAGTGTTCAGTCTATGAAGAAAAACTTTTTATTCCTGGAAAACAACAAAAACACGCTCAAGTGTTTAACAGAGTCTGTTTGCAGTTTAATATCTGAACATTCAGTTCAGTTTATTTCTAAAGCTCCAAGTCACAACAGAAGTCGTCTCAGGGACTGAACAGAAACATTCATCTATAAAATAATAATTTAACTGAAACATTCATCTATAAAATAATAATTTAACAGAAACATTCATGTATAAAATAATAATTTAACATTATTTATCTGAGGAGCAGCTTTGAGTTTAACTCCATCACTGAACTCTCATCTTGAACAAGCATGAAGGCGACAGTGGAAAGAAAAACTCCCTCATGAGGAAGAAACCTTTAGCAGAACCAGGATCAGGACTAGAGGACCGTCTGCTTCGACCGGCTGGGTTTGGTAGGAATAGATACACAATGGCAGGTCAAGAATCACTTAAGATAGAAATAGTATCAAATGAAAACTATTCAATTTTAACAATTCATTTAAGGAAATGAGGTCAGTTTGTCCTCCAGTAGTCTAAGTCTATAGCAGCAGAACAAGCCAACCCTAACTATAGGATTTATCAAAAAGTCTTAATCCCAGTCTTCAAACTGGACAATGTGTCAGCCTCACGGACAGAAACTGGAAGTTGGTTCCACAAGAGAGGAGCCTGAGAACTGAAAGATCTTCCTCCCATTCTGCTGCTGGAAACTCTAGGAACCACAAGTAAACCTGCAGTCTGAGAGTGAAGTACTCTGTTAGGAAAATATGGAACAATAAGATCTGTAATATAAGATGGAGCTAGGTTGTTGAGCGCTTTGTAGGTTAGAAGTAGGATTTTGAATTCAGTTCTAGACTTGACAGGGAGCCAATGGAGAGAAGCTACAAATACTTTATTGTAAATAGTTGACTACTATAAAACATAATATAATAACTGCAGTTATTTTATGAAAAATGATTGGTTCCGTTTCTGACCACGGTCAGGGGGGGAGGAGGACAGCATGGCTCTGCTCGCTGAGATCCTGGGAGACTTGTTTGTGGACCAAGGGGACTCCTCCCAGAACTGGACCGAGGGGTCTGGACAGACGGACGCCCAGCTGAAGGAGAAGTCCTTCTTTCTGCCCTCACAGCTGCTGGACCAGAGTCTGAAGAGGTCCTCGGTCTCAGGTGGGAACTTGTCGTCTGAAGTTTCGTCGCAGATTAAGATGCAAACAGGAAAAAGTTTTCAGGATCAAAAAGGGACGAGCTAATCAGATTCATCTAAACCTGAATGTGTGCTTCAGATCAGAGCGGCGTTTTCTCACCGGCCCTCGTCGGTGCAGCAGAACCCTCACCTGGACCTGAACAGAACCCTCAAAACCCAGCACTGAAAGGTAGAACAAACTAGAACCAGCGTTCCAGTTTGAATCAAACAGCGAGTTTCATTTCTTTACTTTTATTTCAAAACAGAACCTGGAGCACCCAAAGACCTGTCCGCATGGTTCCACCTCTTCGCTGACTTGGACCCTCTTTCCAACCCGGACGCGATCGGTGAAGCCAGCAGAGAGCACGAGCTTCACACGGCGTAGTTCTTCCTCAGCATCAGGACTTCTCTTCAAACAGGACGCCCTCCATGAAAACTCACCTGAAACCGAACTCTGACCTTTAGAAACTTTATTTGTACAAAACAATTTAAACAAGACAAAATTAAATATAAATAATTTTAACAGTATAAACTGTGGGGTGGCACAGTGGCTCAGTTGGTAGAGCTGCAAGAAGGTTGCAGGTTCAAATCCCAGTCCAGGACCTTTGGGTGGAGTTTGCATGTTCTCTCCGTTCTGCATGAGTTTTATCCAGGTACTCCAGTTTCATCCCACAGACCAAAAACGTGCACGTTAGACTGGTGACTCTAAATTGTCCCTAGGTGAGAGAGTGTGTATGGTTGTCTCGATGTGTCCCTGCGGTGGTCTGGAGACCTGTCCAGGTGTCCCTGCGATGGACTGGAGACCTGTCCAGGTGTTCCTGCGATGGACTGGAGACCTGTCCAGGTGTCCCTGCGATGGACTGG